AGGAATATCGGAGCTTTTTCTTAAATGTCACGATGCAGTAAACTCATACAAAAATTATGAAAAAAAATATAAAAAGTTTTATTAGTAATTCTTTTATTTACTCTGGATATCTGATTTTTGTAACAGCTATTTCTCCTGAATAATAATATGGATCCTGTTTTTTAAACCTATCGTGATTATTTAAGCTACGACTAAAGCTGATACATCATATATATAAATATATATATATATATACACATATACCTACTCTCTTACTCGGCTGGGTGAGTTCTGTATTTTTATTTTTATATGTTAGTAAATTGTGTACTTTTTTGCTTTAAAAGTGATTGAATTATGTTGTTCTGATATTCCGGTCAAGGTTTTCATGCCTTTAACTAATCTGTATGCTATAGTTGTAGAATTATCAACAATTTCAAAGTGTAAGGGGAGGCTAGGCTTAACGTTGCAACTATTTCTTTACATTTGAAACTCTTAGTTAGTATAGTGAATTGAGCCAGTTGTTCCGTCAACTTCAGTATCCTTTTGCCGAGTGGGATTGGAAGTCACTAAAATTTTCACTCTCCGAAAGTTTTGCTTCTCTGCCTGTTGGCCGCATTGCTTATTTTGGCTCAGAAATTCTAATTTTATTGCAAAAATTGTTTTCTAACTGTTTTAACTGTATTTGGTGTTTTATGTTTTTTTTAATATATATTTTTCGATTTTTAATAAAGATAGAATTTTGGGATTTTATGTATTTTTGCCCTACGGCGAAGTGAAAACTGAATTGATTGAATGAGAAATATATCTATAACGAAATTTGAAGAAAGAAGCTTAAATGAAGTGCAGCAAAAAATGTGTATAATTTAGTAGGCTGTACAAGGTACATTATGTGATTTCCATATCAATTTTTTTAAAAAATTTTGTATTCAAACGTTTTGTCCTAATATTATTCTTTTATTAGATATAATTTCTTCCCTCATTTTGCCGGCTAATTTTTATCTTTTAGAAAAAAACTTTACTTTTAGAAGATTCAACTCCTTCATTGATCTTTGGACGCATTGAAATACTTGGTAAATTTTCCAAAATGTTAGATATTGACTCCCCCGTTTAAAGGCTGATTGCGTATGTTATTTTTAAGTCGCTTAGTTTAAAAATGTATAATTTTAGCTATACTTCCAAGGTATGGTAACCAATATAACATACTAGAATTCAAAATTACAAAAAAGACCAGGCTATAAAAATTTTTGTTATAAAATAAAGCTTATACATTTCGATATTTGAATCGCATACAATATTTATCGATTAACCCAATAAAAAACTAAAGGAAAGCTTCTTTCCTTCTACTTATAATAGCAAGCACCACATTTGTAAATGTGAAAATTAATATTACAGTAAATATAAAAAAAATTAAATATGCTAATAATAAAATAAAAATTAAAAGTGACTATGAAATGTATTTATTTACCTTTCAATGAAAGAAACTCATTTTAATTAATTGTTTAATAAGGCATCAGAGACATTAAGAAATATAAGTTATCAAGGTCATATATATAAAAATTTTGTTTCTTTTCAAAAGAAACAAACGTAAGACATTTTCTTTAAACATTTGTTTGTTTCTTAATACGTTTGGAAAATCAATTCTAAGTAAAATAATATTTCAACCTACACTCATGTCCATAAATTAAGGATAATTCGGAGTCACGCGGAAATCGAACTCTAACATAAATATATCACCTGTAAAATCACTACACACATCTTCAAGAATCATATGCAAATTTCAGGAAGTAACCAGATGACACCGATGGTACGTCACAATGACGAGAGTGTAAGAGAGTGATATAACGAACAGGCAAGAAGTAAAATTGTTCGCAGGCGCTTATAAGCATTTCAGTGCAATAACCGAATAGTTATGACACAAAGGCCACATTTTGATGATTTTTTACGTGATAGAATTATCGGCCGTCTGGAATGTGGGCGTACCCAACTAAAAGTATCAGACGAACTTGGAATTGCCCAGAGTGTCATCTCCAGGTTTTGGCAACGATTCCAAGATGATGATAATGTGACTAGACGTTACAGCACAAGTCGCCCCAGAGTTACAACGCCGAATGAGGACCGGTATTTGGAAGTTACTGCCAAAAGAAACAGGCGGAGCACAGCCTCAGACCTGTTTCGTCAGCTCTCTTCAGCCACTGGTACGACAATTTCAAGGCAGACCGTGTATAGACGCTTAGGGCAGATTGATCTAGATATTCTCGTAGGCCTGTCAGATGTGTTCCACTTACTGCAACTCACTGTCGCCTGCGGTTAGCCTGGAGTAGAGAGCATGCATTGTGGACACCGCAACAGTGGGCTTGTGTGATGTTTTCCGACGAGTCTAGGTTTAGCTTGCAGTCTGATTCTCGCCGGACTTTCATATGGAGAGTTCCAGGTACCCTTTACCACCAAGAAAACATCATTGAACGACACCGTTACGGTGGTGCAGGAGTGCTCGTTTGGGTTGGAATTATTCTGGGTTCCAGAACTGACCTGCATGTTCAAATTGGAACCATGACAAGCCAAATCTATCGGGACGTCATTATGGAACAACATGTACGTTTTTTTCGGGGCGCCATGGGCGCACAATTGGTGTTTATGGATGACAACGACCGTCCTCACCGTGCAAAATCGTAAGCGAATGCCTTCAATCGGAGGTATCACCCTATGGACTGGCCAGCATTCTCACAGGACTTGAATCCATAGACACGTGTGCTACATGCTTGGTCGACGAGTTGCAGCCCGTCAACCTGCTCCTACATGTCTACCGGAACTTCGGAGAGCATTGCTTTTTGAATGGTGTAATATCCCCCAAGATCAGATCGATAATTTGATACTCAGCATGCCTAGGCGTTGTACGGACTGTATTGCATCGTCTGGGAGACATACAATGTATTAACAATCATACCAACCATGTAATATTGGTTTTTTGTAATTTGTTCCAGGGAGAAAAAAATCGCTAGTTTTTATAATAAATATTAAACATATAGCATTTTTTTTTTTTTTTTTTTTTTTTTTTTTTTTTTTTGTCTTTACCTTTTTTTAATAAATAAGCTTTACAAATAAGTCAAATTTGTTTTGCTTCTAACTCTTCCTTTGCCTGATTTTGCATTATCCTTAATTTATGGACATGAGTGTATTTTCCTCCTAGGCATCGTTTTTCTTGAGAATATATATTATAAAGATATGGCAAAATATGTTTTGTATATAAATTTCTGCGAATATTCTGCTGGATTGCCTGTAATATAAATAATTTTCAACTTATCTATCAGAAAATGTATTGTTAAAAGTATCAGAAGAACTGGACTACAATAAATAAATGCTTCACTTTGAATTCAGGGAATACGAATAAAATTTTCTCACATGGCAAAATTTATTGAAATATTTCTAAATAAATACAATTAAAAAAACTTTTTTTGCTCCAAAACTTTTATTCAAAACGGATATGATATTTAATGCTCTAAAAGGAGAAAAATAATTTACCATATAGTTTAACAGGAATAATAGATTATAATTCTGTTTGGAGAATTCATCTACAATTTTATATCGCGAATAATAACAACGTAGAGCGCCTATCATAAATTAAAAAAGATAGTGGTTGCATTTAGCTATGCAATTAATTAATGGATCTCGTTATTTAGGCGCCAAATTCTTTTATTATTGGCGATGTAAAATCGTAGCTGAGTTCTCTAAGTAGAATTATTTAACTTATTAGTCCCATTAAACTACATGATAAATTATTGTTACGAATTTTATATGTAAGTAATTTTAGTTTAGCTTAAGTTGTGTTTAAAAGTGTAAGTATCTTTTTGTATAATGTAGCGTAACGTTTTGAAGCATCAAAGCTCTTCCGGAAAAATAATATTGTAGGGTTACAGCTGAAAACATAGCAGCAAAAACTTCGCGGACAAAAACACCGCGAAGAAAATAACGGAAGGAGAAAACGCCGTAGTAAACAAAACATCGCGGGAGAAAACATCGCAGTTCTAAAACGTCGTCGTCGAAAATATCGTGGTAAAAAATAAAGTACCTACCAATAATCGCATGTCAATAACATCGCATACATGCGTTTTTCAAATCGCATAATGACATATCATGTAACTGACTTTTGTCATAACTACCAAATCGACATCCAAAATATTGACTGCATGCTATACATGAAAATGTTAACGACACTTTAAGAATAAACGGAAGAAAAACTATATGTAATTTTCCTTAAAACAATATCAGATTAACAAATGTGAACGAAAATAATATGATCATTAACTTAGCAATTTTTATGGAGGTAACCTCATGCAATTATTTATCTTTCTTTTTCTAAGCATTTTTAGACTGCGTTTTTCATGAAAAATAATCAGTTAGACTTTATATAAAAAACGTTTGTTAATTAACTATATAAACTTAAAATTCTACTAAGCTTTTTAAGTTGCATTAATTTTCTGCTCATTTTCAATTTTTAAATGCTTATGTTTCCTTCTCATTTTTTTAGCATAAATTAGTTCTTTCAAATATACGAAATATCCTTCTTTCCTTCTTGCGTTCTATGATCTTTATATGAATTCTGATATGCGTACTTTGTTCGTTAAAGCAAGATTTGTGTGAAAAATTGGTTAAACATTAATTTAAAAAAAAAAAAAAAAAGTCTAAACCGAATTTTGAAAAACTCCTTTGAACCCAGTGCATTGTCATCGACTATCAGTGAACAAAATTTGAACTTGATAACTTAAAATTCCATTCACAAAAGACCATGAGTGTATTAAATAAAAATTTATAAAAAAATGTTTTATTTATATCACAAATTTTTCTTCGAAATAATTTAATAATTTTATTGTCAACAATAATGATATCATTATTGCCAAATAAGTTGAAACTATATATACTTACATTAATTCATGCACAACAATTTTTTTTAAAAATGAAATAACACATTTATTAGAAAATGGAACTTAATTTCGTATTAAATTTCCATACTAAAAGATACGTACTTATTATATAATATTATATCCGGCCGCCATACTTTATCTGCTGGTATCCGAACAACTTTAATGCCTCCGAAGTCTGAGTGATTCCATAACAGACCATAGTCCATCCAGATCTAAAGAGGAAAAACGGTATAAAATATAGATTTTCATTTGTTATTCATAATTCTTTGTATAATTTGACACATGATTTCTTTCAAAGTATAAATTGAATTGATGATGAAATACCTTATGGTTTATACCATTTGTTAAACAGTAATATTTTAGGGAGTTGCAGTAAATAATTTTAAAAATTTTATTCCCATTTAATATTTTAAAACTAACTTCAATTTCACTGATAAATGCATTATGCATAAACTTTTTTGCACTAATATATAGTTGTGCACTTGTAATACAAATAACTATTGCATTATAATTATTACTAATTATGCCTTTATGTATTGTTGCGTGCGTACGGGTTCGTTATGAAATGAATGCACAAGTCCGATGAAAAATGAACAAAAATTTATTATTATCACAACAAAAATGCTTAAATTTTCTCAAATTATGCAGTATTACAATACTCACAGTAGTTATCTTTTAACTACTCAAATGTCCAATAGAACGTAAATTCAAACAGCTAAAGAACGCTAATCGCGAATTCGCTCCATCAACAAGAGCAGTTTCTAAAACACACAAACTAAGCAACTACGGCAAACGAGATGTTTTCCTCCTCCTTTTATAAGATTTAAAATCACGCGCTATAATTTTCCAATACTTTCTCGAAATCAAAAAGAGATATTTATTTATGCACGCGCTCTTGTATTTCAATTTTCCGCTTAGCTTTCTTTTAATATTCGTACGCGCTGCACTGCGCGAGAATAAAACCAATTAATTTATAAGAACTAATATTAGCTTTTTAAATACCAAATTCGTAACAGTATGCATGTATTTAATATTTTTTTCAATATAGTATAAATGAATGTTAACGCAATAAAAATTATTACTTTTATCTCTACAAGAAAAATATTTTTAAAGTGTTGAATCATATAAAAATATTATTGTACTTATTAATTAAAAATAAAAAAGTAAAAATGATATTAATGAAGGTTTTTCTCTGCTGCAAAATATCAGAAATTAATAGCAATGAATTCTAAATTAAATGAATCTCAAGAGCTTTTTAAATTTTCTCAAATTTCACTATCTTAATTTTCAAAAATTTCCACTCCCTTGAATTAATAAATTACATTAGAGTTACACACACTATATTTTAAAATTTCATCATCGACTCCACACCAAAAGGCAAATCTGCAAAATCATTGTTTCGAGAAAAATACAGTTTAGAATTTAGTATAAATTCTAGTTATTATTACTTTTATGTAATAATTCTTCGACATGCATCTTTTTCATTTGGCATACTATAAAACAGGGAAACAAAAGAAAACATAGGATATACATACAGCTTAAAGTTTCAGGAAAGCTGAGTTTTATTATTTTGATGTGGTGTCTATTATACACTTAGGTGACAAAAGTCAAGGGATAGCAATATGCAAACGTACAGATGGCAGTAGTGTCGCGTACAAAATGTATAAATGTATGTGCATTCGCCAGGGCTTTCATCTGTATTCAAATTATTCATGTGAAAAGGTTTCTGACGTCATTATGGCCGCACGGTCGGAGTTAACAGATTTTAAACGCGGAAGGGTATTTGGAGCTAGACCCATGGAACATTTCCATTTCAAAAATCGTTAGGGAATTCAACATTCCGAGATCAAAAACGGAATCGTTAGGGAATTCAACATTCCGAGATTCTGCGTGAAGTAGCAGCAGAAATCATTGTGGGTCGCGAAGGCGAACGTGTCTGGTAGGACAGTGCGGCAAAATTTGGCTTTAATGGGCTATGGTAGCAGAAGACCGAGTCGAGTGCGTTTACTGATATCGCCTGCAGCGACTCTCGTGGGCTCGTAATCACATCAGTTGGATACCAGACGACTAGAAAACCGTGGCTTAGTCAGATGAGTCACGATTTCAGTTGCTAAGTGTTGATGGTAGTGTTCGAGTGGGGCGCAGATCTCACAAAGCCATGGACCCAAGTTGTCAACAAGGCACCTTGCAAGCTGGTGGTGGCTCCATAATGCTACGGTCTGTTTTTCATGGCATAGTCGTCGTCCGGTCCAACTGAACCGATCATTGACTGGAAATGGGTATAACCTGGAGACCACTTGCAGCCATTCATGGACTTCATGTACCCAAACAATGATGCAATTTTTATAAATGACAATGCGCCACGTCACCGGGCAACAACTGTTCGCGATTGGTTTGAAGAACATTCTGGACATTTCCAGCAAATGATCTGGCCACCTATATCCCACGACATAATTCCCATTGAACATTTATGTTATATAATCGAGAGGTCAGTTCGCGCACAAAAATCCTGCATCGGCAGCACTTTCGAAATTATGGACTTCTGTAGGGGTAACATGGCTTAGTATTTTCGCGGGGGACTTCCAACGACTTGTTGAGTCCATGTTACGTCGAGTTGTGCACTTCGTCGGGCAAAAGGAGGTCTGACACGATATTAGGAGGTATTTCGTGACTTTTGTCACCCCTTAGTGTATACATTCTATGTAAACTATTCAAGCATTTTCGCTTGCAGCGACACCAGAACAACAAAACGAAACAAGAATAAAAGATTATTACCTGATTAAGCCAACAATTCGTAGTTAAAATCTGGTTTCTTTCATCCTGCAAGCAGAAATAATAATTAATGCCAAGTTCGAGTCAGTTTACGAGCCTTTTTGATAGCAAGTCTTTTAGCGCAATAATAAAGCATTAAAAGTTTTCAAGTTGTCAGCCAAACGTGGCGCTGCGTCTAAGATTAACTTGGTTTCAAAAGGCAGTTATTTTAACTCCTATCGCATTTCTCAGATATGGTATGTGTCCATGCAGCTTTTATCTCTTGCCAAAAATGACAGAGTTCGCTGATAAAAAGGCTATTTGAATGTAGAGAGTTTGGAATATTGTATAATTTGTATAATTTGGAAATTGTGGTTGATTCTACACATTCAAAGCTGCTGAACACTTACAGGTTTTCCACAAAAGCCTTACAAATATATAAAATTTTCCATTGCCAAAGGTAAACCTTCTGGTGTAATTTGATACACTTCTGAGTTTAACATATTTTTGTTAGATTCATCGTTTCCAAAGAAATTTTCTTGGACATTTCACAAAAGTTGCAATCCGAATTTTGATATAACGTCATTAATGAAACCTTTGCTCTTTATTTATGTTATTGATAGCTTATTAGGAAAGCATTTTATGATTACTTGAAACTTTAGTGGTGTAAATAAAAACTTACACCACTAAAGTTTGCAGAAGAAATCCGATTAATTTTTTCCTAAATGTATTCCTATTTGTCGTATGCAGAATCAAGTTGGCTATTGTTGTGAGTGAGTCTTGGTTGGATTTTGTAACAAAAGCTATCTGCTATAATAGTTGAATTTCAGTTTGTGATATAGATACAAACACACAGCTGCCATAATATGATTATTAACAGTTGTCATAATATTTCAAATTAAGCTGTATAAGTTTATTAATTTTTAAGTATAATTTTTAAGAAAATTTGTATGGCAGATTACTAAAGCGTCTAGTTGGTTACTAAGACGTCTTGCTTTAGTAACTAAAATCAGACAATTACTTGAATTTTACTTTATAGTATTTAAAAAACAAAGAGAAAAACATCAAATATCATGCGCAGAAGAGATAATACGCTACAAAAATTTGCTAATTATTAAATCAAAGAAAAGAAATACAAAAAGAAGAACTTTATGATAAAACAAATGTAATTCTATGATTAAAAGTCGAAATTGGAGTTGTACTAGATTAAACGCGTTTATAAAGCTTTTACTTCTCTTATTACATAAAACACGTAAAAGTTATGGTAATTCTTGAAATTCGTTTTGAGCGCCGATCTCTCAAAAATCTTGTTGCGGTAAAATTCAGTCCCGGCAAATAAGGCTCTTGGAATTTTACACACGCCTCATAACAAACAAAAATATTATTCTACATAGAAATGAAGAATTATTTCAATGTCATGGAAAAATAGTTGAAATATTTAAAAATAGTTAAACATTAACTCGTGCCGATAGCTCAAGCAGAGCTATCGGCACGAGTACAACGTATCGGAATATCCTGCTCACACCTCAAAACAAAGAGGCACCAACAAGAAGCCAAAAGGATTTTCATATCAGAATCGTTAAGATTTGTCGCGTAAAATATGGAATATCTGTCCATGGTTGGACAGATGTGCTGGCTTTTCCAACATCTTACAAACAAACAAATGTCAGGACATTGACCCTCTGGTCATTAGGCGAAAGCGGAGAGCGGCTGTTGTTGCAACAGACTTATCGTCAACCAGAGTGCACCACCAGGAGGCCTGCTATTTTACACCCACTTATAAACATCCATGCCTTTTCTGATATTTCAATCCGGGCGCATATGTACAACAGTCAGTGTCGCTAACTACTATACGGGCTGGGCGACTCGCCATCTTCTTTACTTATATTGTTATACAAAAACAAGAACAATATTATTTACGTATATATGATACATACACTGAAGTGACAAAAGTCATGGGATAGCAATATGCAAATATACAGATGGCAGTAATATCGCGTAGAAAATGTATAAATGCGAAGTGCTTTGGCAGGGCCTTGATTTGTGTTCAAGTTTCATGTGAAGAGGCTTTGACGTGATTATGGCTGCACGACGAGATTAACAGACTTTGAACGCGGAATGGTAGTTGGGCTAGACCATGGGTCATTCCATTTCGGATATCGTTAGGGAATTCAACATTCCAGATCCCAGTGTCAAGAGTGTGCCGAGAGTATCTAATTTCAGGCATAACATCTTACCATGGACAAGCGCGTGGCGACCACCTGCACTTAACGACCGAACCAGCGACGTCTGCGTAGAGTTGTCAATGTTCCCAGACAAGCAACACTGCGTAATAACCGCAGAAACCATGTGGGACGTACGAGGGACGTGTCCGATAGGACAGTGCGGCGAAATTTGTCTTCCTTGGCTATGCCAGCAGAAGACCGACTCGAGTGCCTTTACTGACAGCACGACATCGCCTGCAGCGACTCTCGTGGGCTCGTGAACATATCGGTTTGGTCCTAAACGAATGGAAACCGTGGCTTGGGCAGTAAGTCACGATTTCAGTGGTAAGACCTGATGGTAGGGTTCGATGTGGCGCAGACCCCAGAGCCATGGACCCAGGTTGTCAACAAGGCACTGTTCAAGCTGGTGGTGGTTCCATAATGGTCTGAGCTGTTTTTACATGGCATGGACTCGGTCCCCTGGTGCAACTGAACCGATCATTGACAGGAAATGGATACCTTCAGCTACTTGGAAATCACTTACAGCCATTCATGGACTTCACGTACTCAAACAACGATGGGATTTTTATGGATGACAATGCGCTATGTCACCGGGTCACAATTGTTAGCGATTGGTTAGAAGAACATTCTGGACAATTCCAGCAAATGATCTGGCCACCTAGATCGCCCGACATGAATCCCTCGAACATTTAGGGACATCATCGAGAGGTCATTTCGTGCCCAAAACCCTGCACCGTCAACACTTTCACAATTATGGACGTCTATAGAGGCAGCATGGCTCAATATTCCTGCAGGGGACTTCCAACGGCTTGTTGAGTCCATGCAACCTCAAGTTGCTGCACTTCACCGGGCAAAAGGAGGACCGACAAAATATTAGGAGGTATCCCATGACTTTTGTTACTTCAATGTGTATGACAATCGTAGTAGATTATTATAATAATGCGATGCACATTATTACAAGTATTACAGTGCAGTATTATTTATGGTATGTCATATGAAGAATCTCCATTTTTGATAAATGTTTTTCATGAAGCTTACCTATGAAAGGCGTCTATTAAACAATAATCAATCAGAACAAATAATCTCTTAAGGTTATTCTATAAAGTATTTTCTGCCTCCTTTCTGCATGCCTTCCTCGTGTAACGGTAGAACACTTGGCGTGTATTCGAGAGGTCCAAGTTCGAATCCCGGCGACGGCAATACACATTTTTCATGTCTCCTACTTTAAAAAAAATCTGATGTGTACATCACATGACTTCCTTGTATGGAATATTAAATTATACGCAATTTTCCTGCATTTCAGTTAAACATATTGAATTAACACTTAACGAATTTTTTATTAAATCTACTTCGTCGATAGCTCATAAACCATAATAGAATAAAAGCACTCTTTAAAGTTTACTATATTTATTTACTGTAGTGCCACTTCGGCGCTAGATTGACTTACCAGCGTTAGATCTCATTCTTTTTATAACTCGAAGTGCCCAAAAATTATATGATCTGAAGAATTACTACATGTTCTATTCAAATACTATAATAAATCTAAAACAACGATGTATAAAAGAAATTAAAAAAAAATAAAAAAGAAACATTTTTTCACAGACGATTCGGCGCTGTTTATCTAATGCGCATACGCTGCTAATTAATTCAGTTCTCACTTCGCGGCAAAGCAAAAATACATAAAAATTCATATTTTCATATTCATTCATTCATATTTTCATTCAAAATTAAAAGATATAGAAGAACATAAAACACCAAGTACAGTTTAAACAATTAAAAAAACAATTTTTACATTAAATTATAGTTTAACGCAAAACAGCAATAACTTACATGATAATTCAGAATGAATTAGCACAGTAATGCGCAATAATAAAGAAGACATCCTTGTTGTTGCTACGTAATTTCGCTAGATGCACAAATCCATATTCTGATAAGTTCAAACGTAAACAAATATCGCTGCCAGTAAACAAATATAGGCTTGCCGCACTTAAAACTTTTTAAATTGTGCTAATTCTCAAGATTCATGCAGTTAGCAAGGCTAAACCTTTAACGTATGATAGAACACATAATCAATATTTTTAAAGCAAAATGCGCATTTTACAACATATAAGAATGAAGAAATCGAGCCCTGAGCGAGTACAAAGTGGATAATATTATATATATATATATATATATATATATATAGGTGTACCAGCTTTTGTCCCGATTAAATTAGATTGGTTAGAATCATAGATGTAGTCTACCTAATATCAAGATAGTTTAAAAACAGGATCCATGATTTATTCAGAGAAATAGCATTTACAAAAATAGAGCTCCGGAGTAAATAAAAGAACTATAACTTTTTGTCTTTTACTGCTCGTTACTTAAGAAAACCCCGATATTCTTTGTGGTCTTTATAGCTTGAAAGGCGGATCTTCAAGAAATGACGTCAGCCATTCCAGTGCTTTAAATATTTCTAGAACATCTATAAATGTACGTGAGAAAAGGTGGGAAAAAACACTTGACTCGGGTCTGTGGATTTAATTCACGTACTTCAAAAGAGACCGCGCCTAAAATAAAAGACATTATAATTTTAAGTTATTCTATATGAATTTATTATAAATATATATATTATATAGAAATCACACACACACGAATGTAATAATAAATTCTCGTAGAATGCACTTAAAATTTTAACGTATGTTCTTTCATTTTTAAGGCGACGTTCTGTTATTTGAAGTACGTGGAATAAATGCACACCCCGTCAGGCAGTTTTTTCCGCCTTTTATAACGTGCAGTTTTAGAAGTTTGGAATATTTAAGCGAACTGGAATGGCTGACGAGACTGAATCATTTCTGAAGCTCCGCCTTTCCATAGCTATAAAGACTCACAAAGATATCGGGCTATAAATAATATTTAGACTTTGATGTTGCGATGC